GAGTCACAAATTAATTGGCTTAGCTGCTGAAGTGCCTTACAAGACAAATGGCATCATGGGGATAAGGTATATAGATCAATCTCAGATCAATGTAACCTCTATTTGTAGAAGACCCTGGTTCATACAAATGGTAGCTCACCTTACAGAATTGGTTCCAACCTACTCCATCAAAGAAAAAGATGTTCTTGAATTTGCTGATCTGTGGCTGAATAAAGATTAATTTGATGTGCCTGAAGACTTATTAAAAAAAAATCTCTATACGTATATCCCAAATTAGGATCAGAGTTGGTCTAGCATCATTTACTTTCATGTACATGTTCTACATCTACCAGTGGAGACTCTAGGCCTGGGGTCTTCACACTTGGCCCTTTTATGACTTGTGGACTTCAACTCTCAGAATTCCTCAGCCACCATCTGGCTGAGGAATTCTGGGAGTTGAAGTCCACAAGTCATAAAAGGGCCAGGTTTGAAGACCCCCTGCTCTAGGCAGCATTCTGTTTCTCAGTTAAGATTTCAGATTTCCGCTACATAATTATGATATGGAAATAAATATTTTATGGTAGCACAACTAGTAATTGTGTTTGAAACTGTACTGAAAATTCAGCAGAGAATTATAATATAAAAAAGGGAAGATTTTTTTTTTAAAAAATAGCTAAAATAAAAATAAAGATGGATAATTCAGCTGCCTTCCTGACAGATTGGGATGGGGGTCAGAAAAAAGAATGTGGGGAAAACAGGAAAATTAGAGATGAGAGTTAGTAACATCTGAATCTCCCGTAATCATTTCATGAACCAAGCAGGACAATTAAATGATTAAAAGAAATCAATCGTATCTAGAAGTACTGGGAAATGATGGTAGCCCAAAAGGTAAAGTATGTTTCTCATGTAATCCAATGAATGTACTGATATATATCACATATTCTCACCTAAGCACCATGTTTAATACATGAGGATTAACTACTTAAGCTCAAAAGAAAGGGTGGAAGATTAGAACACACGATTGGGGAAGGAGCTATGATATTACAGGGAGAGAGATCAGCCACTTTCAAATCAGAGAAAAAGAAATAAATAAGTATAATGAGACAGAAGAAGAGAAAATAATTGGTAGGTTAATCTACATTGTTTTTCCATGGTTCTGCAGAATTACTTGAAGAAAATTGTAAGGCTCTTGCACTTAGAAACTATACCGGTTTCTAACACATGTTTGACTACAAAGGTGAATGCCAAATGCTAGTGTACTGGCATAATTGGTGCTGCCTCAGTAGGAATGTTCTATTCTGCCTTGGTATGAAGGCTTGTGAGTGGTACTCTTCTTGCCACGTGTGAAGACTGATGGAGACTTTAGCCAATTTTCAAGTTGCTTGACAGGTTGCTTAGTATGGTACAGCTCCATGGCAGTCACTCCTCCTCACTCAGTCTATGTCTGCTCACATGTCTAGCATTCTTCCACAAGTGCAGGGTAAATTAGGAGACAATCTCATCAGGAACGCTTCCTCCTATTTCATCCTGTGTGCCTCCTCTGCCTCGCTCACATGTCAGCCAAGTTATTTTTAGACCTCTTCCAAAATCTAGACTACTCAGTTTGTGATCAGAAATAGTCCAAGGGACAATCCAAGCCATGGGAGAGGGGCTGGTTGCAAGGACCATCTAACTGTGCTTATGGCCTGTCGCTTGGGCCATATGGAGAAACAGATAAAACTTCTGTCCATTTTGCCTCAGTTCCACCATATCCCAGAGTAATAAGTGCTACATGGTGTGGCAGTTTTGGCAACAACCTACAGCATCTTTAAACAACCCATGAGCGATGCAAATTGGCACTGGTGCAAGCAAAATGGATCCTTGCCCCACCCCAAGTTTGAATCTTCAGCTACTAGAAATCTCTTGTCAATAAAGTAGCCAAAAACCTACAATGTATTCATTTTAGGCATGGCTGATGACACTCCAGCTATTTTTTCCATTTTAAATGGAATTGTACGCAGCAGAGAAATGGCTGCTTCTCCAGAGACCGTTGGTTCCCTTTTTACAAAAACACAGGTCTATTGACTAGTAAAAAAAAAAAAAAAGAGGTTTAAAAAAGAGGTCATGTGCTTGTCTATACAATTGTATGCAAGGGACAAGATCAGTGTGGACTTCAGTCCTGACTGGGAATTCTGGGAAATGAAATTCACACATCTTAAAATTGCCAAAGTTGTATACCTTTGCCTCTGCAAGGACCAAGCATCTGGCTCTTCCAGGATCCAAGCCCAGATGGGGACTTTCCAGTAACTAAAAAGAAGGGACATGCCCACAGCAACCTCTAATTGTCAACTGAATCCAGGTAGTTCCCAGCCCCTGTTGCAACATTGCCAGCAACACTGAAGAGGCATCCAATTGGAAAGAAAAGATTTGTGTCTGAAGGAAAAGCAAAATTGAATGTATAGTGCATGTGTGTGCATGCACATGACTGTTGCACACAGAAGTTAACTTTGCTTTTTCCTAAATGTAATGAATCTTAGTGAGGGGTTGTTGGGGTTTTTTTTGACAAAAATTGTATATTTCAAATTAGAAATATCCTTTAGTGACTAGTTACTGATTAACCTTCTGAGCAAAACAAAAGCAGCTACATGAAAATAAATAAAGGCAAATAAATGAGAACATTTCACATGGCTGCTTTAAAAATAAACTTCCCTTTAAATAGCTCCCATTTAAGAAGTATAACATTTATTCCTAGGCATTATTTCATTTGTTTTGTATATTCCCTCCACTCTGTGCTTTCAATTGGAGTGGGCAGGCTTCTCTGCTGTGATGATCAAAATACACTGGCAGCTTATTTGGGGAAAGGATGGATAAAATTACAAGTTCCCACAGGAGGCTATTAATAAAACCTTAGTTCTGGTTCCTATGACAGATAAAAATGGCTATTTAATACAAATAGTCCTCAACTTACAACCACAATTGAGCCCAAAATTTCTGTTGTTAAGTGAAATCATTGGTAAGTAAATTTTGCCCCATTTTAGGACCTTTCTTGCCAGAGTTGTTAAGTGAATCACTGCAGCGGTTAAGTTAGTAACACGGTTGTTAAGTGAATGTGGCTTCCCCATTGACTTTGCTTGTCAGAAGGTGGCAACAGGAGATCACATGACCCTGGGATACTGCAACTATTGTAAATATAGTTGCCTAGCATCTGAATTTTGATGAAGTGTCCATGGGGATGCTTCAATGGTCATAAGTGTGAAAAATATCACTTTTCCCAGTGCTGTTGTAACTTTGAATGGTCACTAAATGAACTGTTGTAAGCCAAGGAATACCTATATGTAAGAAATTGGTAAAGACGTACATTGTACCTCTCCTTTGCTCATATGAGGTGACAATCAAGCGAAAAGAGAAAGTGTTATGAAAGGCAAAGTGAGAAGAGAGAAAAGTCAGAAGTAGCTGCATGCTTCAGAAATGCTCATTTGTATATCACAAAAGAAAAGCAAATGTAGTGTAAAATGAGGACATGAGAGAATACACAGACACCCAAAAACTAGCAGTTGCTGATTGTAACATATACGTAGGCATTCAGATATAATTCTTACAACTCATCACATAGCAATGGCTGGGTGATCTGTGCAATTGCTCAGTCTGCCATCCAGAGCTGACATGGAACTTCAAGGCTCTTTCCGCTTCAAGGGGGCTTGGATTGGACAGCCTTCAAACTGAGGACAGCTCTTGGTATATTAGGGCACCTAGAACTATAGTTCTAGGTGCCTTCCTTGGACCACACCTGAGCAAAGTTAGTTGCATCAGAGATTGTATCATTGGTGGTGTCCAATAAGTTACATTATCTTCTCCAGCACACACTCTCTCTCTCTCTCTCTCTCTCTCTCTCAACACCCACATTCAAATTTGGTCTTTATTTGTTAGCTACATAACAGATAGATCCTAATAGATTATCTTCAACTTTACAAATATCTAGGTAGAAATGCTGAATAATATTTGAAGTTTAACAGAGTAATTATGTTTCTTAAAAGTTACTTATACATTTCTATATATTGCCAGATTTTTCTTTTCTTTTTTCTTTTGTTTGCCTTTCCTTCTCTCCTCTGCTTTGTTCTGTTTGCCATTCCCAATAACCTGTTGATGCTCCATTTGTTTCTGTGGGGAAAATGCACGCGCAGCAAACTGCCATGCTTCCCCCCCCCCCGCAAACCTCATAACCTTTTGATACTCTTTGTCCCAATGAAGCAGCCAGAAGGTCATACCCTTTTGACTTAATGCCTTACCTACCTAAACAGATAATATGCTTAAGTTCCTTCCTATCTCTTCCTGTCTTTGTTAGTTCCTTCTGTTTTCATCTCCCTGTATTTGTTCTTACCTGGTCTTTGACCGTGTAATGTGTTGCTAGAAAATAGTTGCTTACATGAAGGAATTTTCCAATGAAGAAACCTTTGTCAGAATTTAATGGTTAAGCCTATGTATGTAACAAGTATATAAGAAGCAATAAACTCAGAGTTTGTCAAGCTGTGTCCTGCAGCTTCACACCTCTGCTCAAGACATGCCTGCGTCTTCTTCCTAGCGTCTTTACAGTTTCAATAAAAAGCTCCTCCCCATCCAATGTACACCCACAAGCAGATCTCTGGAGTCCATAGACAATGAAATCAATGCTAATAATTAAAAGGATAAGTTCTTGATGAATCATTTCCTGTAGCCTGTAACTATAATAAAATAACTATATTATTGCTGCTAATTTTTTTAATACAGAAATTGGCATTATAGCTCAGCACCATTCAGTTCTCTGAGGTTAACATAGTTTTGAATTTAAGCATATTTTAAAAACAAATTGCAAGCTTGGGAGGAGAAGGATCCTGCTTAGTTAAGAGTAAAATTTGTTTATCTTAACAAGGCTTACCTCTGAGTAAACATGCATAAAATTAGACTGTGAGTCATTTTTACTGATTGACTGATTATATTCTAGCAAGTCATTTCCAACTTCTAGTGATCATATAGATAGATTTTCTCTATAACGCTCTATACCTTACCTGTTCTTTGAAATCTTCCAACAGGGTACTCACCACCGTGACTCCATCCACTTTGCTGCTGGTCATCCTCTCCTCTTTCCCTCTACTTTCCCCAACTTTAGAGCTTTAGAAACAATTCATTCACATTGTGAGTCTATGGAAAGGTAATAAAATGAAAAGGTATCAAAACTGCAAAGCAAAAGTTGCAAAATGTTTATAAGACATATGGACTTTATTAATCCAAGAAACCCACTTGTATTTCTTATCTGTTCCTTAGCTGTATGAGCAGAAAAGCCAAAATGGTATGCAGTGACACATCTCTGTATTTTAAAACTGGATGAACTTGATATTCCTCTAGACCAGGGGTGTCAAACTATCAGCCCGTGGGCCGGACACGTCACAAGGAAACTTGTGCTACCCCCACTGCCGGCAATGTGCAAAAAGCTCCGATACGTCTTGCGATGTCACATGACATCGCAAGTTTGACGTCTCTGCTCTAGACTTTTTGTCATGAGAAAGAGTATATAAAACAAAGAGGAGACAAGATTAAAACAGCTCTGCATTTTAGAGATTTTCTTAAAATGCTTCCTTGTCAGCTTGGTCTATATATGATTAACAGGAATGGACAGAATTGGACCAATTAAGTTTAGTGTGGCTGAGAACAGCAATCAATAGCTCTAGGAAAGATTCAGTAGGATCTGAATTTGAACTGCTGCTTGGATCCAGACTTTAGGAAATTAGGAAAATTAGGCCTTTGTTCTCCCATAATTTAGCATGCCGCCAACAAAAATAGCCATAACACTTTGGTTTTCAGCAGAATATAATGCAGTTTACTGAAGAGAGGAAGATGAAACATGCTACATTTCCAAATAATTAGTGTCTAAATGTTCAAGCCATGTTTCTAAGCATTTAGAATTTTGCTGCATGGGACAGAATGAGGTGACATTTGCAATGATAGTAATCCTGTGCCATGCAAATGGGTTTTTGTGCAAAGAGAGGAGAGGTCTATAAGAAATCACAATACCTTCTACTAAAGGCGAGGGAGCCATGTTACTGCCTTTCCATCTACTCAAATCTCTGAAAAGATTCTTTATCAAAATCAGAAAGATTTGATCTACTGTATTAAAGGGAGTTGGAAGTCAATGCCTTTTCTTTCTTTTCCCCCTTCTTCTCCTCCTCACTGTTCCCATCCCTTTCCTCTGCCTATTTTTCCTACTATTTTCTTTTGTATTTTTTGTGTTAAAATATAAACTAATAAAACTGTTATACAAAAAATCAGAAAGATTTGGGACCCACTTGCTCCATTTTGAGACAATGACTTTTATTTTTCAGAATCTGGACCCATGCTGGCTGGGGAATTCTGGGAATTAAAGTACACCCATCTAAAAGTTGCTGAAGGTGACAAACAGTGGTCTAGACCCAGAAACAAAACTCTGTGTTGAAAATTCTTTAACGTTTGACTGTGTCAGCAGTAGCAGCGCTTTCCCCATCAGACAATGTCCAGAAAGAGAAAATAGACATAGCATCTTATCAAAAGTTAGAATTCCTAACCCTTTTGTTTTTTCCCCATCAGCTTTGTCCATTCTTTGGGAATATGGAATGTGTGCTTGCTGGTTTCACATGCCAGGAGTTGCCATCTTATTCCTTTGCAGTAATTTCCATGTCATATTTTAAACGTTGGGATTCTCAGTGTTGTTACAGCACAGGACTGAATGCATATTTCCCTACACTACAATCATTTCTTTGTTTTTGGTTTGGTGGTGGAATCCATGGGGGCAGTGGTGGGGTTTAGCTGGTTCACACCACTTCGGCAGAACTGGTAGCTAATTTTTTGCTGCCCAGGCCCGGAAGCAGCATCCACACAGAGAACTGGTTGTTCTCATATTTGAATCCCACCATTGCATGGGGGTAACAAAAAAACAAAGATGGTGGTCACATCTACCAAAAGGAGCAGACTGTTAATAGCACAGCTGCCACTGCCATATTGACTTTTTTTTTTGTTTCTTACATGGACACCACTGAATGCTAGTATGACTTAGATTGATGTTCTAAAGGTGTGCATAGTTCATTGGTTATAATTTATATTTTATAATTTATTCCTGTTTATAGACCTTGACTAAGCTACTAAACTTACTTTCTAAGCTAAACTCATAAGCATTCTACAGAGGAACATAACAGCATAACTGAGAAAGAAAAGATTGACCAGCTAAGAGCAAAAATTGCTTATTAAGACAAAGACCAAATCACAGATGGTTCACACAATGCACTTAAAGTTTGTCACAAGCAAAGAAATAAAAGCAAACAAATAAAGATGGCTTGATTGATTTTAATTTACATTAAACAAATACACTAAATTTTATCTCATTAAAATCAAGTTTGGAAGACATGGTTAGTTAAGTCTGTGAACTCAGTTTGGTTCCAGCTTTTTTTATTATTATGCACAGTAGCTGTCCAAATTGCATAATAAATCTAATAATACACCAACAATATTGCCTAACCCCGTTAACAAAAATTATGTTCATATACTAACATATCAAAAATATATAATCAAAGCTCACTAATCATATACAGTACGGCACGCTCTGAAGATGGAATTCTTGATTGTCCTGCCTCAACACTCAGAGAAAAAAAGTCACGTTTTTAAACCTTTCCTGAAGAGTGACAGGTGGCCGATAGCTTTATTAGCATGCATTTCTTCTTCACTGATTTCTCTCTTTTTTTATGCTTTTCCCTGGAATGAAATCTCTAGATGGATGTATTCTGTATTATCAGAATTCTTTTTTTTCAAACACAAGTAAGACATTGGGAAAGGCTTCACGATAGGTACACTCACAGTAGAAGAAAAAAAAATGTGGCTTGTCATCCAGATGGTTTTGAATGCAGACAATGTTTTGTTTGTCTTCACAACTGGACACTGGCACTATGTGTGTGCGCGTTGTTCGCTTTTAATAAAGAAAGATGTCAGCAAGCTGGAAAAGCAATACTGACACTGCATACTTTTAGGTAAACATGTTATCTAACCTATCAAAGCATTAAAAAAAACAGCATGCCTTTGGTAAAGACATTTCCAGGTTTAAAAAAAAAAAAGCAACATTTCAATATACTGCATTTATTGGATAGTAATATTGACTTTCCCAGTATGAGCCTTCTGCATCAGACTCCAATTCATTTTGATGCAGCAACAATCAGCCTGATGGAACAAAGAAAAATCCATCTTCTCATCATAAATAATGCTGTCTGTTTTTAGAGAAGTATATTTATCAATTTCTTTATGACAGATGTATTATGTTTAAGCACCTCTTTCTCTCTTTCTTTATATTCTCTCTCTCTCTCTCTCTCTCTCTCTCTCTCTCTCTCTCTCTCTCTGTGTGTGTGTGTGTGTGTGTGTGTGTGTGTAACCAACCAACCAGAGAAAATATTTTATACTGTGCAACAAGATTTACTTTTGAAGATCCTTCACTTCTGTTGCTTCTCCCCTCCCTCCACAACTCTTGGATCTAATTTCTTGCTACAACATTCAAATCTGTCCCAAATGTAAAGGGCAAACACATCCCAAACTGTAGATGTGTTTATTCTTCAAACAAAAAGTTAAATCCCAAGTTGGCTGCCCAGGAAGCTCTTGGATCTGGCAGAGATTTGGGTTGATATTGAACATAAAGCATGGCTCACTAGCTTGTAATCGTAGTGGTGCTAAGACAGTTATGAAAGGCTGACTTGTAGCTAAGCAAACAAGCTATGGTTTAAAGATCTGTTGCTTATTTCCTACTTCACTTCTAAATATGTATGGTTTCATTGTGTGGTTTTCTTATATTTGTTAATTATAAAATTTCATTACTAAAATATTTGTCAAGATACTCTGGCAAGCCTAGGATCCCTGACTGAAATGTAATAATTGAATTTTAAGTGTCTGCCCAAAAAAAATAATTGCAAAACCTCAGTAATTTCTGGTATGAAGAAAGTTTATTAATTTCAGGGCCTGGTGGACTTAACTATCTTTCAGGGGCATAATATAGAATTCAGGATTTGCTCATTGAAGAAGACAAAACAGCTACTTAGGTGACACAAACTGAATTAATTGATAGCCTTGAGAAGTATTTATGATTCACAGCATTTTTTTCTAGATTAGAATTATAATATTTTTATTTAAAAAAATTCCATCATGGAGACTTCCAGGGAACAAATGGGAGACTGAAAATGGCCTCACAAAAAGTGGAGCCAACAACTATGATGGAATGAAGAGCCATTGAGGGGACCAGCTGTTCGTAATTCCTCTTCAGACAAGGAGAGGATTTGAGATTGCCCACAAGTGCTCCATACATCTGCTCCTCCTGAGGCAGTAGTCTCCAGTGGGTTGAGAGCTCTAGGAGACTAGGGAATAGCCAACTTGCTCAAACCATGGTCAGCCCCTTTGAAAGGACACTAAGTTAGAGCAATTGACCAGTGGAACAACCTGCCTTCAGAAACGGTGAATGCTCCAACACTGGAAGTTTTTAAGAAGAAACTGGACAGCCATTTGTCCGAAATGGTATAGGGTTACCTGCCTGAGCAGGGGGTTGGACTTGATGACCTCCAAGGTCCCTTCCAACTTCATTATTATTATTAAATTTGCACGCTTCCTTTTTAAATCACTTTTGGAAATAATTCTTACTAACAGCTCTTCAGTTATTACGAACCTTTGGATTGACAGGTTTTACAGCACTGGATGAGTTTCCTTCCTTCAATCTTTAGTGAAAGAAGTCTTAACTACAAGTTTAAAAACGTTTTAAAAATCTAATAAACAACAAGAGAGTGATTAAACCTTTCATTTTAGAAATGGTCTAAGGATTCAAATAAATTTGAAATAAGATTTTGGAATTAATTATAAAGAATCCCCTCCATGGAAAAATGCTTTGGTTTTGATTTAAAAAAAAAAACATAGTAAGATAAGATTTTAAAAATGGACACTAGAGGGAACCAAAAGGAACAAAAGATTATAATTAAAGGAGAAGAATACTCAGATTTGATTTACAATTACAGAATGAAGCAAAATATTTTAACATTGGACATATTGAAGGATATTTTTGAATAATGGACCCAGGTAGAATGTGTCTAAAATATGTTATAGAAATGAAACAAATTCTACCTGATAAGATTGAGACTGAATTGAAAGTGGATTT